TCACGGGGTCGTCAAGAAGACTGGAAACACGGCAAAAATCCGAGTGGTATTCAACGGCTCGGCGCGCCTGGCTTCTGGCGACTCGCTCAATCAGGCCCTTCTTACCGGGCCAAATCTCTTACCAGCGCTAGCGGACATACTCACGCGCTGGCGACGTCATCAGTTTGCCCTGGCGACTGACATTGAAAAGATGTATCGCCAGGTGCTGGTGCATGAGGATGATCGGGACCTGCAACGCATAGTGTGGCGGAGGAGCGCAGTCGAACCGATCCGCGAATATCGCCTCAACACGGTGACCTACGGTCTTACATGTGCTCCGTATCTGGCCATCAGGACGCTCCGACAGCTCGCCAACGACGAGAAGGACCGCCATCCTGTGGCCGCTGCGGTGCTCCTGCGGAACATCTACGTAGATGACATCCTCACGGGGGCCGACACGGTGACCGAGGGTCGATGCTTGCGTGACGAGCTGACACAGCTATGCACGGCGGGCGGCTTTCCATTGCGGAAGTGGTCCTCGAACGAGGACGATTTGCTGAAGGACATCCCGATGGAGCATCGACAGAGTGGCCTGCTGGAGTGGGAAGCTGACGCAGGTCACTCTATGTTGGGCCTGCAATGGCATCCGCGCAAGGACACGTTCGCCTATCGAGTGCAGCCTTGTGACCGCAAGGAGCGCGTGACGAAGCGCTCCGTGCTATCAGACACGGCTCGTCTTTACGACCCTCTCGGATGGCTGGCGCCGGTCGTTGTGCAAGCCAAGATGACCATGCAAACCTTGTGGCAGCAGAGGATCGAGTGGGACCAACCCGTGTCCGCGGAGGACGATCTCGCTTGGCGGCGCTTCCGGGGAGAGCTCCCACTGTTGGAGAAGGTGCGAGTGCCGCGCTGGCTCGGCATCGGAAGAGCCCATCAGAGCGCGGAGCTCCACGGATTCGCGGATGCCTCGGAGCGGGCATACGCGGCTGTCCTTTACCTGCGAGTCGTCGATGATCGGGGCGAGAGTCGAGTCTCGCTGCTGCAGGCAAAAACGCGGGTGTCGCCTCTCCGACAGGTATCACTCCCCCGCTTAGAGCTGAGCGCTGCGGCACTCCTGGTGCGGCTGATTGAGCGAATGCAGGACTCCCTGGATGTCCCGGTGACGGGTGTCCACCTGTGGTCCGATTCCACAGTGACGTTGGCCTGGATTCGCGGACACCCCTCAAGATGGACGACGTACGTCGCCAACCGGGTCGCTGAGATACAACGAGCGCTGCCTGATGCGCTCTGGCATCATGTATCCGGCGAGGAGAACCCGGCCGACTGCGCGTCCCGGGGCCTACTTCCGAGTGAACTCCTGCAACACCCCTTGTGGTGGGAGGGACCGGGATGGCTCAAAACCGGCAACTTCCAGTGGACCAACACCCCGGAAGCAATCCATGACGAGGATCTACCAGAGCGGCGCGCGCGAGTGCACGCCGTCACCACTCCCGAGGACCCGGACCTACTGCTCCGTTTTTCGGAACTCCGCCGACTTCTGAGAGTCACCGCCTGGTGCCGCCGGTGGTTACGCAAGCAGCGCAACTCCGCAACCTGTGCTGTTTCAGATGCCCTGGCACCCGGGGAACTTGACGAGGCCGAGCGGGCATGGATCGTCGCAGTGCAGACTGCATGGTTCACGCCTGAACTGAGGGCAATCGAGCGAGGCGAGTTACCGTCCAAGCACAGCAGGCTCAGTCGACTGAACCCATTCCTGGACAGTCATGGGCTGCTCAGAGTCGGAGGGCGACTGAAACATGCCGTCTTGAGCCCTGACGAGAAGCACCCCATCATCCTCCCTCGGGAATCGCGTCTAACCACGCTAGTGGTGGATGCATGCCATCGGCGAACGCTGCATGGCGGGGTGCAGCTCACGCTCGGAACATTGCGCCAGCGGTTTTGGGTTCCAGGAGGTCGAATGGCAGTGCGACAACTTATCCATCGCTGCCTCCCATGCGTGCGATGGCGGGCGGCATCCCCGCGCCCTCGGATGGGCGACCTGCCACCACCTCGCGTCAAGGTATCCCGCGCCTTCACTCACACAGGAGTAGATTACGCGGGTCCCGTCTGGCTGCGAACTTCGAAGGGTCGCGGACAAAAGGCCTACAAAGGATTTCTAGCGATCTTCGTGTGCCTCAGCACACGAGCGGTACACATCGAGGTCGCGTCGGACTACTCCACCGAGGCGTTTCTGGCGGCGTTCCGGCGATTCGTGTCCAGACGCGGGCTGTGCAGCGTTATGTACAGTGACAGGGGCACCAATTTTGTGGGCGCTGACGCGCAACTTCGAGGCTTCTTCCGCGACGCGGCCCGAGAGCGCGCCATTGCTGATGCGATCGGAGCCGAGGGCGTGCAGTGGCGGTTCAACCCGCCAGCGGCGCCGCATTTCGGCGGCATCTGGGAGGCGGCAGTCAAGGCCACGAAGCACCACCTTCGGAGGGTCATCGGGGACAGCACCCTCACCTTCGAGGAACTATCGACTTTCCTCGCACAGGTTGAGGCCTGTCTCAATTCACGCCCCTTGCTTGCGCTTTCAGACGACCCTGAGGATCTCGCGGCGCTCACGCCTGGCCACTTCCTTGTGGGCACTGCACTCAACGCCATCCCAGAGCCATCGCTCGCAGCGGAGTCAACGAATCGCCTGTCCCGGTGGCAACTCCTCCAGCAGATGAGAGACCATTTCTGGCACAGATGGTCGCGCGAGTACCTCCAGGCACTCAACGTCCGGTCGAAATGGTGGAAAACGGAGGCCAACCTGCAAGTCGGAGATTTGTGCCTCGTTCGCGGGGAACAAGTTCCCCCCACTAAGTGGCCTTTGGCCAGAATCGTGGACGTCCATCCAGGACAAGACGGCCAGGTGCGGGTGGTCACCGTGCGAACGGCCACCACCACGCTCGTGAGACCGGCATGCAAGATTGTGCCGCTGCTGCCAAGTGACGCCACCCATGGATTAAAATGATCAAACAATTTGCGCGCCAGGTAACTCCCTAAGCTGCAACACCGAGAATGCGACGTGTGAAGCAATGTACATCCAGAGTTTCCTTAAAGTCACCGCTATTTCGTCAGCTCACTGACGAGGCGGGCGGAATGTTCAAAACTCATCATTAAACCTGCGCGATTACTGGGAAAAATGAGCGTTCCCAGCGATCTTTTCTTTGGACCAGATGCGCGTTTTTGTTTCGCATAAACAAAATGACAAACATCCGGGGACCAGATGTTTTCGGCGACAACATCTGGTCA